CCCCAAAACCCCAAAACCCCAAAACCCCGAGAAACATATTTTTAAAGATAAGTGGATTAAATCTTTTGAATTATATAGTTTAATTAAATTATCCAAGAGATAGGAATAGATCCTCAATAGCCTTAGTTTTTGAATTTCAATTCATTTGAGTCATAAGTTATTAAATTTAATAATTCCATTTTCATCTTACATTAATTTTTATTTTGATAATCTCTATCTTAGTAGGGAATAACTTTTGAAATTATTACCATTTATTTCAATTTCAGAGTTATTCTACTAAGTTTTAATCTTTTCATCCTTTTGAATTTGAGGTGCGTAGTAGTCTTAGTTTCTATTTTCCTAGATGATTTTTGGATCGTTTCTCAAAATCACAGTGGATTCTTTCATTTTTTATATTTGCTTAAATTCACCTTGGTCTATATTTGTACTTAAGTTCAAGGAACTATTAAACATTTATGGATTCTAATTATCAACTGATAATATAGACTAAGAAGTAATTTGAGAAAAATATACCTCTTCTTTGTTTAATATGAATTCATTCTGCATTAATGATGATTAATCTTTTCTACTCTTTGCATTTGTTTTCTTCAGACAAGTATATTTTGTAATTGCTCTGAATTTAAGATATATGTCTTTGCTAAGATTAAAGTAAATATTGATAAGTAAAAATAGCAAAGATGAGGCAATAGTAATGTAACCCATTTAAATCTTTAAGCTATACTCAATATCATAATGATCAGTAAAAATAATCATGGTGTACAATATAAGTTGAATTATAATTTCATTGAATAACTCTAGTTTATTTAATAATTTTGATTCATATGGCATGTGCTACAGAATATATGAACTCATGAATAAACTCTAAATCATCATAAATGACACTTATAATCCTTAGCTATAATTAAGAAGAACTAAAGTCAATGAATATAGAAGCCTTCTTGATAAACTAATATATACAAATTTTAGTTTATTTTTGCATAAGCTTTCTTATAATGGTCTAAATTTCAATTGAATTGTTTTAATATCATCGCAATAAATGACCTAAGTCAATAAGAAAATCAAAAACGGAAAGAATATTGTGAGAACAATCAATTATATTGAAAATATCGTGCTAACTTTGTCTATAAAGCTGCCATTCAACTAAGAAATAAACTGGAAATATTTACCTATAGATTGCTTATAAAAGAGCAAAGAACAAACTCTATGTAAGATTCTAAAAGAAATCTCAGAGTAGCCGAATAAAAAAGATATTTGCTGAGTCTTATCCTTAATTTTTTAAACCTTTATCAATAAAAAAGTAAAATTACTTACATCTTTGAGTTTAATGGAATAATATCTAAAAATTTTGATAATACCATCAACATTATTAGTATGGCATAAATGTAGAATATTAATCCAAGATTTTCAATTATATTTCAAGAGTTATATCCCATCTACTAAAAAAATAAACTGTATGGCTATGATTCGTAATTATCAACTTAATTTTCTGGTAAGTTTGGATCTTCAAAGATTATGTGATTGGTAGACTAAACATCTACAAATTAAAAACTAGACACATCAAGGATAAAGTTGTAAAATATTGCTATATTTGGTGGTGTTGTTATAGACATAAGAGGTAGATGAGTTATCAATTAGAAACTATTAATCATCCCCCATAGTAGCTAGATGCTTTATGACCTAAATATAATGATAAAATAAAGCAATTACATCAAGAGATTTATAACAAGATTTGAGCCTAATAAGCTTTAAACAGTAATACTACTAGTTTATCCAATATTAATTAGAAGTTGCTTTAACTCTATTTCGTTATAATATTTATAAGATTACATTCACTAATTTATGGAGGCATTTAACCCTTTATTGTATATGATTTCGGTATCATATATTATTTTTTCTGATCCATGAACAAAAAGAATAGGTTAAATTGAATGCTCAAAACATCCCAATTCTAAAAAGTGATTAAAGAAACATATGTTACTGAGGTCGTAGAAATTTGTTCTATATTCTAAAAGAATATGTTTATATACATTTTATTGTTTTCATATTTAACAAACTCATATTACACTATTTCTTGTCTGACATCATTTTCTTTTATAATACTAATTATAAGTGCTTTATCAATCATATTTTTCATCTATTTAGTCAAATTCATTTGTTTATTAAAGTAGATAGATACTTCGCCTGAATGACTAATCTTAACTATTTTAGCTTCTACAGCTCCTTTTATTGATTACTTTTTGGCAAGGAGGTAGCTCTCTTAAATTTCATTGCTAAAGGCAGATAAATCTATTTCGAAGATGTTACTTTTAGGGTTTATAGTGATAATGAACTCATAATTACTAGATTTTGGAAATGCATTTTTATCTTTGATTACAATTTTAACTTTATGAGAACCTATTAACTATAATTGTGGAGTAAAAGTCAGAACATTTCCATCTGGTTTCATCAGCATGCTTCCAAATTTTGATTCAAAACTTATAGTATAATCGTCCATCTCATCATCTATTACTTGTGGCAACTAATAGTTAAAATTTTAGTCAATTTACAGGTCGATGTCATTCAATTTGCCAATAAAATATGGAGCGGTGTTGTTTAGATAGGAATAAGTTTAATCAGTAGTCAAAGTAATCCTGAATGGAATTTCTCTTTCAATAATATTATCATGAAAAAAGTTAAGCTTAACTATTAAGATACATTTATATTCTTTAGCTTGCCAATTATAATCATTATTTATACTTATTATGCCTTTATTAATTAGACTTTGATCTAATCCATCAAATTTTACTTAACCTTATTCAAATATTATTTCATTCTTCTTTATGAAAAAGAACTTAGGTTCATACTCTATATTTTAGAAAGAATATTATTAAAATCTGGAACCAATTTTGTAATTAATATCATTTATATGAGGCTCTTTATTAATAACTGGCTTTATTTCATTGCTATGGGGGCATATTATCAAATGGAAAGTAACTTCATGTAAAGTCCAACTATTAAGCCCATCATTAAGTAAGAGCTATATTTTGATAAGATGATCTCCAAGATATATTAGATGATTAGACCCAAAACTCAACTCATATACTATTTTTTGATTATTTTCATTCTAATTATTCTGTTAAAGTACACTTTCCAAATCTTGATTCTCAACTACTAATTTTGGCTAGATACTCACTGACCCATCACAATCAGTATTCATCTGATATGTAATATTCAAAAATTTACAAGGAGGGCCAATAAAAATCAAGTAACAATAGATATATTATTCGTCATTGATCATTTGCTCAATCAATCCAATGTAATGAACATCAGCTTTTACTAAGAGATCTTAGTATACGAAGAATTATTTAGCCTTAGGCTAGCCAGGCCAAGAATCAATGTTTTCAGTAAAATTTAATGATGTCAAAGTAATTTAATAACTATCATCTGTCAAATCTGTAAAATCTGAAGCAAAAACAGTGAGTTATTATATAATAGTTGAATCATTTTGGTAACCGTAAATAAAAGTGCCCTATTCTATTTTTGAAGGATAAGTAAAAATTTGGGGTTGATCTCTTATTGATTCACTGACAAAACCAAATTACTGAGAAGCCTATTAACTCTATCCTGAAGAGAAAAAATACTCCTGAGCATTATTATTAGCGTAAACCAAATGATTGATCTTGATAATATCAGAATTTATAGTTGTCAATTTCTTCTTCTAGAACCTTAAGACTGATTTATCGTTTGGATTATTTAAATAATCGAATGGGATAGTAATGTGATATACATCTGTTGCAATCTAATTTAATTATTGTGAGTAAAATATCTCAGCTGATAAATTTTGATAAATTAGCAAGCCTGCACACTTATAAATTGGAGAGTTAAAGATCTATTTGATTATATAAATTTTCATTCCTATTTATTCATTTTAAGCTATAAATCCATGAGCAGACATTACTTTATCATTTATGCATCCAATGAATAACCCTTATTTAAACTTTGCCAATGCAAAATCTAAGTTCAGATTATTTATATTAGAAAGGTCATAAGCTTGAAAAGTATATTGTGAATTAGTAGGAATCGTTTAGATATTAGCTGTGAAAATCCCTTTGTTTATTATGTCTCCAGATAATATGAAATTATAATTGCCTCCAATGTACATTTCATCAGTATCCGTATCTTTTTAAACCATTACAGAAACTCTTGATTAGCTAGGAAATTAATGTTTATTAATATATTTTTTCAGGTCTTAGTTTATTAGTAAAAGTTATGACTTGAATTCAGCCTTTCTTATTGAAACAAAAATATTTCCACCCTTACTAATTTCCATCATATCTTTATATTCTTTATCTGGAATGAAACTTTAAATCCAGATTCCATTAACGAAATCCCCTTTTGAATTTAAGCTTATTAGATAGTAGTAACCAGAGTTATCACTATTTTTATAGCTTCTAATTGCTACATAAATTCTATCACTAAAATATTTAATAGATTCAACTTAGTTTAATTTGAGATTCATAGGTTTGGTATTACTAAAATCTTAGAGAGTTTTTATCCAAACAAGCCCTTTAAAATTATCTCTGTCGTTATAAGCACCCAATATTATTTTTCCTTCATAGATCCCTCCAAAATAAAGAGTGGTTCTGGATTAGTCATATGCAAGTACATTTATATCACTCTCCTTCAATGTAGAGTAACCTATAACGAAAGGTAGATACTCATTACCGAAACATGATGAACTAAATAAATATGAGTGAAAATTTGGAAATAAATTGAGAAATTCTTGAGATTTTAATATTAGTTGTTATATCCTTATAATTGCTAGAATATGTAGCATAAATTCTGCTTACCTACTGCATTTAAGGACTAAATTTGAGAATAAAAATAAAATCATCCATATTTAATTGCCAAGCGCTTAATTTTATTGCATAATAGATATCTAGGATTTTCTAAGATTAATTATAATCTGCTTAATGTAATATCCTATATTAAAACCCTACTTATGTTTTTATTAATTTAACTATGAAACTAATAATTTCTTATTTATGACTATGGGGTTTTGGGGTTTTGGGG